TATTTTATTGGTGAATATTTCTGATGATTCAGTGAAGAGTGATCACACGGAACACCAGTTTTCCATTAATTTTAAATCTGGACATAAAGTAGTTGATTTCCAGCTAAATTTAGTTGAGAGAGTGAGAATATGAGATGATTTTATAGGATTGTTCGGAGGTGCTGGTGTGGGTAAAACTGTATTGATTATGGAACTGATCAACAACGTTGCTAAGGCACACGGTGGTTATTCGGTGTTTGCTGGTGTTGGAGAACGAACGCGTGAGGGTAACGACTTGTATCACGAGATGATTGAGGGTGGTGTTATCGATCTCAAAGGAAATAACTCGAAGGTTTGAGAAGTTCTTCGTCAAGTTTAGGGAGAAGGGGGTATTGTAGTGTCTTGTCCATCACTCATCGTTTATTACAACAAGATCTGTTCTATTTCTGGTCACCTTGTTATAGTGAACAAATGTTTGTGTAATGTTATAAGTTGCATTGTTTGCTTTAAAATGCTCTGTCGAAGCTTTGTGATTGACAAATAGAAACAGAATCACGGAGTCAAAACTGAGCAGAAATTATGAAATGAAACGTACGATTATTAATTCATTGGTGAACATTTGTGTGATTCATTGAAAAGTAATTATACGGGACAACAACAGTTTTCCTTGAGTTCCAGATCAGTAATTGAACCAAACTAGTTGGTTTGCAGCGAAATCTGTATGTTCCGAGTATGACCCCGTATGGTAATGTCGAACTCAAATGTGATTTCGATGTGATTACTCACAAATGTTTAGGTATCGTTGGTGTACGGTCAGATGAACGAACCACCAGGTGCACGAGCTCGTGTCTGTTTGACTGGATTGACCGTGGCCGAGTATTTCCGTGATCAGGAAGGTCAAGACGTGTTGTTGTTCATCGACAACATCTTCCGTTTCACGCAAGCCGGCTCTGAGGTGTCCGCGCTGTTGGGTCGTATCCCGTCAGCTGTAGGTTATCAGCCAACGCTGGCAACTGATATGGGTACTATGCAGGAACGTATTACAACAACCAAAAAAGTTGGTGGTTCTTCGCGAATCGAATCGTTTACTTCATTCGCATTTGTCCTTCGTATTCTTTACTTTGTTGTGGATTAGATTGCGTTGGATTCGGCGGACATTAGGATTCGGTTGCTCTTTATCTTCAGGAAGTTTTAGGGAGTTTAACTGAATTGTTTGCAGGGCTCAATCACATCCGTACAGGCCATCTACGTACCAGCAGATGACTTGACCGATCCTGCACCAGCCACAACATTCGCTCACTTGGACGCCACCACAGTGTTATCTCGTGGTATTGCCGAGTTGGCTATCTACCCAGCTGTCGATCCGTTGGATTCAACCTCGCGTATTATGGACCCGAATATTGTTGGCCAGAAGCATTATGATATTGCTCGTGGTGTACAGAAGATTCTTCAGGTTCTTACTTTATATTCACTTTGTGTCGTCGAATTCGTTTCAGTTTTTTAGAGGGAAGGGGAGGAGAGTTGCGCTTTTTGAAATGATCGGTTTCCTGGAATCGCTGAGCTGATGACGTGAAAGGTTGTAGAGATTCTGAGAGATGCTGCTGATTTACGCTCTATGCATGGTTGTTTTGTTTGAATCGGTTTGTATTTTTATTGATGTTGCAGGATTACAAGTCATTGCAAGATATTATCGCCATTTTGGGTATGGATGAATTGTCTGAGGAGGATAAGTTGACCGTATCACGAGCTCGTAAGATTCAACGTTTCTTGTCACAGCCATTCCAAGTCGCTGAAGTTTTCACTGGTCACAAAGGCAAATTCGTTACCCTCGAAGAGACGATCCGAGGATTCGAAGCAGTTCTTAAGGGTGCGTATTTTGGGTGATGATGAATGCCTTCTGTTTATCATGTTTCATCATGGATAATTTCTCAGATACTCGAAAATGCATCAAATTTTTGAGCATTCTAAAAGATTTGACAAGTTTTGGGCGAAGCGTTTAAGTGTGGAATCATCTTTCAGGCGAGATGGATCATTTACCGGAAGTTGCATTCTACATGCAAGGTGGTATTGACGATGTTATAAAGAGGGCTGAAGAATTGGCGAAACAGCATTCTTAGAGCAGAATTATATGAGATGATATCTGTTTAGTGTGAAGAAGTTATTAGTAATTTTATTATTATTACTGTTTTGTTCTGTATAATTAATTGACTTTAAATATAGGGAATTGCCGACTTGAGTTGATTTACACAGTGCTTAATCACTGAGTGCGAAGATAGTGATGTGATGGTTGGTGAATCAGAGACGTTTTTTGTTTGGTTGTTGTGTTTGTATATTGTACACGTTGTGGATCGATACACATTCGAATAGATACATAATAAGCATATGTGCTCTTTTTTTTATATTTCGCAGTGGCTAAGCATTCAGAATTGAATTGCTGCTTGCTTCAAATCTTAATCTTTTCACGATGCGTCTCTTTTGTCCCATCTTTCAGCTGTTCTCTTTCCATGAATAGGTTCAATTATGTGGTCATTATTGTTATCACTGAGATTGTTTGTATCGAATTGGGCGATGAATTCTGTGGTTCCATTGTTTTTGTTGTAGAAATTAGAGTCAGGAAAATTTTAATAATAAAGTTTAATTTATTTATTGTTATAGTGTCTTATGATATTTTATGATTGTTTTCCAATTCTCTATAGGGAGTGATAGGAATTGTTACGTACTAGGTATTGTTAGATGGCTTGGTTGCATGAGTGACGAAAACGGCCTGAAACATCAGTTGCTTAGAAACTGTTTTTGCACTCAGTGTGGTGAACAAATGATTTACTTTGCAGTAGTCTAGTTATGTTTAGTCAGAACAAATTTACCAATGGTTTCATGCGATAACCAGCGAAACACAGAACAACAACAGTTAGATATTTATTGATGATATTTATTTGACGGGATGACATCCACCATCATGGAGTAAGTGATGAAGTGCATGAAGGAAGTAGTTGTTTGATTTGGTGTTCGATGAATTGTTTTCAACTTTTTTCTTTTTTTTGTTTCGTTGTTTCACTATGGAGCGCTCAAGTAAAGTACAATAATGATAATAAATACACGGCTTTTCTCAATGCATTTTGCGTTGTTGTCATCATCAAATTTTATCATTTTGTCATTATTCTACAATTGAATATGTGTTTTTGCTTGTGATTTTGAGTCGTCGAGGTGGCATTGTCATGCCTAGATGTTAGCAAAATCCTGCTGAATGGTGACGATTGGTTCTTTGAATCGGTCGAGGAGATTGGGCTAGTGTTTCTTGATGATGAGTTGATCGTTTGGTTAGAAATATTTGAGAGTTCAAGTGAAATCGATTGTCGATCCGATGAGGATTAGAATTGGTGGTGAATTCCAGAGTCTGGTTGAAATACTTTTACCCTTTTAGTCATGTAAAGTAGACAGTGTATCATTTGAATGGGTATTATCGAGCAACAGATTGCTTTTACAAGTTTAATGTTGCTGGATTAAGGTCGGTGGTGAGGGATTGGAGTAATTTTCTAGTTTTGCTTTCAAAAATTTCCAATTCTGTGATACACATTGAAATGTTCATTGCGAAAGCAATCGCTGATATGTGGATGTTGACGATCTAAGCGAAGATTCAGTTGATTCATAAGTTAACTTTACCAAATAGACGAACAGAATGGGTGGTGAGGAAGGAGACAAGCAGCAACCGCAGCAGGAGCGCAAGGCCGAGGAAATGACGAGTGCTGAGCGTGCTGAGCGTCGACAGAAACGACACGATGATGCAGTGCCTTCGATCATTGGCTGGGTTTCGACGGCTCAGGATGGCGTGAATGATACGAATATTCCAACGTATTGCTCGAATCTCGGCTTGAACGGATACAGTTTCGTCAACTATCCAATTGGTGGCATTGAGCGTGACCAATGGAAAGTGAATAAGTTCGTTTTACGTCAAGCTCTATTATGGATTCATGCACTTTGGAACTTAATCAACGTGTTATAACCAATATATTTCTGCGGACACGAGACTCCAAAATAACCGTTTATTACCGTTCAGAAAACACACACAAAGAATATCCAAAAAGTGCGAGAAATTATAGAATAATCTTAATATATTAAATATATAATCTTAATATATATTAAATTCTCATTTAATATATTCATAATTCTTTATTCAAATTTACTCATGCAATATCACACAACGAATAGCGTTGATTCAAATTTACGTTCATAATTAGATGGTAACGAGTGAATTAAGTGAATGCGCATAATCGCCGAGAGTAAAGGAAATTGAAATTGGAGCCATAGAAATGGAACGTAATTTCTGAAAGTTATAACAAAAAACATGCGCGGTTAATTGAAGCGTCTCGCTGCATAGCGACTCAAAACGTTAAGCCTTTGAAGTGATACTGTCAAGATTGCTGCAGTGAGCAAGAGTGAACCTTGTATCGTCCTCATAAGAAATCAATGACATCAAAAAAATTGAGTTCGTTATGAACAGGAATGAAACACCTCCACCGATAAATCTGCCCGATTGGCAGTTGAAACCACAACTGTGGTCCGTCTATGTGGTTGGTCGTATTTCAAGTTGGATCGATTGTGATTCAACGGATCCTTGGCTAGCCGAATTGTCGGCTCGAGAGCTTGAGAAGGTCCGTTTCTCAGCACTGTTCAATCGAAATTTTTCTGCATCTTGAAATATGATAACATGGAAGTTTTGAATCACTGAACACGATCGATATTGAAGCTGAAATGTACCGTTGAATCTTCAAAAATTCATATGATTATGCATGAAATTCGAGCTCTTTCGTAATGTTTTCATCAATCGCTCTGAATTTATCAGTGGTTTGCTTGAGTCGATTGATACTTCAGGAGTTCTCTTATATGTCTTTCATGCCATTACGGGTCTTAACTCTTGAGCTGAAGCATCGTGATTCACCGCGTCTAGCCGAAATTCTTACGAAATGGTTGTGGACACAAAACATGAGTTTTTGGTTCGTTACCAAATTATCTTTATTATTCAATTCGATCGCCAAATTATCGTCAGCCATTCGATAGACCCAAATAATGATTGATATCGTTTGCATTTTGCATGGTACAATACTGTGAATGAATGTTGAAAAGTTCAATTGAAACAATTCGGACGATTTGGATTTCAGTTCGGAATCACCAACTTCGCACATTAGTATCAGTGTTTATTCTGTCGCTTTCTGGGCTGCTCAATTTGAATTTTCGTGATTGGAGTTTTTTTCGCTGACAGAAAAGATCGCTCGTCGTCAGCGTATTCGAACTGGAGAATTTTTGGATTTCAATCATTTCAGCGTATGGGTTTTCGTTGCAACCGATGAGAACTGTTATCCAGTAGTTGGAGAGGTGGATAAGCGGGATCTCTGGGCCATATGGGCTGATTTTCGAACGCTGTGCACGAACTATACGATGCATCGACTGGCTGTTGGCCTAAGGATTTGTGCAGATTTAGCGGATGAATTTCTTGAGCCGAAACTTTACGGACGCTGGAACGCTGAACCGGTCAGTTGAATGCCGAGCGATTCAAATTTTGCGAATGAGAGAATGTTCACAGTGATAGAGAGGGAATTATGGATTGATGGTGTGATGTAGTAGTGGATTGGAAAATTTAATGTTTGCAAGGAAATTCGAGTATATTATGGATTGATTTGCACGGTAGTAGAAGTGCTTCGTTGAGTGAGCGACTGATTTCAGTTGTGCGCATTCTGGTTGGATTCGTCGATTTTCGTTCATGGCGCTGCCGAATTTGATTATGCCTTACCTCAGTAGGTTGAATTCGTCGATCATGCGTCACCTTAATAATTTGAATTCAATTATTCTTTATTACCTCATTGTCAGTCAGTAATCTGAATTCGATTACGATTTGCCTGCGAAATTTGAATTTCATTATGCCTAACCTTATTGTCAGTAAGTTACAAGTTTTTGTGAATACCACATTGGTTTCTAGTGATTGATTGGTAGTTTGCATTCAATGAGAATACTGACTGTCATCATTCGATGCGAATNTTGAGAAATGAGTGAATCGTTGTTAATTGTTTCCATTTTTATTGCCCACAATCGTCTACTGTCGGATCTGTTTGGTTCAATGCAACACCGCATTCTTGTTTGTAACGAGAGCACAAATACGAGTGCGTATATCCGTGAAATTTATGTGGGCGTTATAAAAAGATTAGTGGATGCTAAAATACGCCAGTCCTATGAGGCATCTCCGGATAGTGGTGAAAGTATATTGCTGGAATACTTAGGACACCCCGAATATGTTGACGCATTACAGGTTAGCGTTTGCTGATCGCGAGTAAAATGCCAACACTTAGTTTGTTGTTTCGGTGATTATTTCATGTTTAAATTGAAAGAAAATAATTTTGTGTTGAAAATGATTATTTTATGTTTAAATTGAAAATGATTTTGTGAATATGATTGAAATGCTTATACTGGTTTCATGCTGAACTCTTGAAAAATTCACTCACGATCAGTGAGAAAACTTGTGTATTGATTGAAAAAGTGTATTGATTTATCCATTTGCCAGCTTTTAAACCTGAATTTGAAATCGCCTGTTCACCAAGAATATCTGATGAAATGTTCAGATACCTCTGCAACCGTTAGCCGATAACTTAGATTCTGGAACGTATACGACGTTCGAAGAGGACGCTGTCAAGTATCATAAATATCGAGAGGCCATCGGTTATGCAATCGATGAACTTGTCTCGACGATTGGTGATGAGCGTCAAATTGTCGTGTTCTTATTGGGTGCTGGTCGTGGGCCTCTGGTAAGTAAGGTGTTCCGAGTTGTTATTTGATGAAGAAAGTGAAAGGATTGCTTGAATTACGATAAGGATTGCCATAAAGAGCTGAGAGATTTCAAAGGAGATTTATTCACGTTGACGACTTCTGACGAATGTTCTCTTATCGAAGAATTGAGAATCATATTGGACTTTTTCAGATGCACATGATAATGGACGCAGAGAAGTGTTTCAACGACAAAAATCGCTCTCGACGCGATTTACTGAAACTGAAACTGGTAGCGGTCGAAAAGAATGCAAACGCTGTTGTGACACTACAATACCGTAACCGAACTGAGTAAGTTACAGTCATTCACTTCGTAGAATGTAGAATATTAACGAATAANGTTATGGTGTTCATATATTGGTCATTTCAGATGGAATGAGCGAGTGACAGTAATAGAATGCGATATGCGTGCGTTAAGTGAGTTGGTACATGCAGATAAAATGGAGAGGCCAGATTTGGTGGTGTCTGAACTGTTGGGATCATTCGGCGATAATGAACTGTGTCCGGAATGTTTGGATGGTGTGAATGATATCGTTCGACCGACCACAATTAGTATACCTCAGAAATACACGAGCTATGTTGGTGAGCACATTGACTGATTTGTTTGAATATTGCGTATCGGTTTCAGTTGATTCCATTTGATTGTCGATTAGAACTTACTTGCATTCATCGTGAGAGTGATTTTGTTGAATTGCTATGTCTTGTGTTAGTAAGACATACTCTTGTGGAATTTACTTTATCGTCATATATTAAATGAATGTGCTAGGATATAATGAGATGGGAAATGCGAAGGCATTCATGGTTAGGAAATAGTGTACTTTGCTCATGTTTCTTATTTCATTTTATATTTGTGTGTATATTCGCTTATCAAACCTATTTGATTGTTTGTGACCTTGTTTTAAGCACCAATACAATCGGTTCGTATGCATCAGAAGGTTCTGGCATGTAGTGAAAGTAAGTATTTCGATAGGGGACTACCAAGCCGAGGACGGTTATTGCCACAAAAACACGCTGATGGATCGTATAAACTACCGTTCGTTTTGTTTTTTTTTTTTTGAATTGTTTTTTATTTCGCTGATTGTGAGCATTTTTCAGTCACATAACTTCTCTGCAGTCAATCGTTAGGTATGATCATCTGCAGCTGATTTAGAACGAATACTTAGCGATTTTGGCCAGTGGCAAATAGCCTATGTTGTATTGTTTGTGTGAGGAATTGGTTATGAATTTCTTGAGGTAGTAAGCCTAAGCCTTTCGATTAGTTGCAGGCTAACCGATGATGTGTCATCGTTAGATGAGATCTACGTTGTATACTTACGATCGATTTGTGCGTTGGATAAACCGAAGCCAGTGAATACGTTCAAGCATCCAAATTTCGATTCGACACCGAATTGTCGGCAACAAATCATCGAGTTTGAAATGGATAAACAATGCGAAGTAAACGATT